GAAACACAAAAATGACACCTAGGATTTGGAAGCAGATTGAGATTTACATTATTTACATTAATGGGTACGGGTCTGGATCATTCCCAAAATATCAGGCCCTGATCGTTGGTGATCTGGGGCTTAAATGGGATAAGCAAGTAGGAAGTAAGGAGGCAGGATGGCTTGTCAATTGCGGATTGGTTTTTACAATGTGCATCATAGTGAATTTCTATTCATCAGTAACTAGCCATATCTAAGACACAGAAGCAACCAGAACTGGAACAGGAATTATTTCCTGGGCAACTAAGAAATTGAAATATACTGGCTGATGAAGGGGGCAGTGCTTTTTCTGCTACAGTGTTTGAGTATCTTTTTGCATATGAGATCTTCTCTCTCATATTCCTCTATTGATCTGCTATCCAAAGTGAATTACCTTGTTTCTTTTATATTTCTTACAAGTAGTTTCCTGCAGAATAGCTGTCACTAATTACAGAGTTTTCCCCCCTTATATCAAAGACTTACAGATATAAACTGAATCACAAGGAGAGAATGGGATCCAAGTTGAATTTAAAGCCAATATTTCCTCTACTACTCTTCTTCTAAGTTAAAAGAAGAAGAATAAGAAGGGTTCGCTCCATTACATAATATTTACTTCTTATTCACAGTTTCAGTTCCCTACTACTTCAGCTAGCTGAGATCAACCATGGTACAAAAATATCAAATGGGAAATTGTAGGAATAAATTCATAAATTTCCAATAACTTTTAGTGCACTGTTTGTTGTATTTGTTCTATTTTATTATCTGCTACTCTTGTTCATCTTTAACTGTGCCTAACCTAAACTTCATTATGAGTATATGTGCATAGAAAAAAGTATAATAAATATAGGCTTTGGTATGTCTGTTGATTCAGACATTGATGGGGGTCTTGGCATGTAACCACACAGTTAGCAAAAACAATTCTAATGCTTTGTCATATAAAGGCTTTTTGTCTTCTTTTGTCTTTCCCAGTACTGGGCTTTGCTACATCCTTCTACTCATCAGAAACACTATAGGAGAGAGATTATTTTTATTAATAGGAACATATATTTTATTGCAGTAGAGAGAGAGTATTCCTGTTAGCAGAATATGCAAAATAGAGTTCTGAATGACAGAACACCCCATTGATACTCCATAGAAAAGACTCTTTGGAGACACCAAGTATGTTTGCTTTAACTATGGCTTCCCACATATTTTTATTTCTGCTGTTAGTTACAGTATTTTGTTTATAAAAACTTGAAAAGTCACTCAAGTTACGCAGGCACTGAGTATTCACTGTACGAGTAAAAATATTTTAGAGTACAATGATTGCAAACATCCTGCAAAAATATTAAGGCAGGGCCTTCTCTGTGTTTCAGAGTATCATTAAAAAGGAAAGATGACCACATAGTTATGAGCTTACAAGATCTTGAGAAAAGATGCATAGTAAGAGCATAAAAATACAAGAAAATCTATGCAGTCACGACTCAGAGAGATATAACCTTGATTAGCAACCAAAGTATCAGCTCACACCAAGTATATATCTTATTTTGTTTACAGAAGCTTTTCTATGCCTTCACAGCAAAAAGATCTAAATGTACATCAGACCTGTTGGTCAGAATTTTTATTACAATTTACCCCATGAACATCCAGCTTGACTTCCTTTGAGGCAAGTGCCCGTTTAAAGACCTATCTACTGTGGAAAATAGATTCACATACCACTAGACAGCCCTCACAGATGCTTAAAGACCTAGTGGTAAAGAGTTAGAGCTGGAAATCTCATAGAAGGTAGAAAGGGCATTCCACATATTTAGAGCTTAGGCTACGCAGAGCACCTACTTACTCAGAGATCATGTAAATCAGCCCCATATTGCATTGGTGTGAGTTTAGTTTATAGATCTCATTCCCTCTTGGCATGACAGCCTGAGCTCAGCTGTATAACGTATGCTTGGGAAGTGGGAGCTGTGCACACAGTCTGCTCCTGACTGGAATGAGGTACCCTTAGAGAGAATGAGGCAACGTGTTAAACCTTTAACATGAGCCGAATGCTGCGTCAGCACTGAGTTAGGAGCTCTCCTTGGTGCTGTTAGATACACATGGCAAGGTTTCATTCTCATCATGTTTATTGCTCTAGCATTGCCTAAGGGGGTTATAAAAACTAGTAGGGGCCTGTGTAATTTTTCTGGCATGGCTAAGAGAATAGCCTTGAACTTGGAGACCGATCTCTGAGCACCAAGTGGTAATGGGCTATCATTCACGCCATTCCTTCTTGGCTGCATTAAATAACACTTTGGTATTTAGCCATAATTCACCATCTGCAGAGGCTGTGTCAGAGGGGAGGGGGGAGTTCACTCAGTCTGACTGCAATTTCAAACACAAATGTGGTGAAGAACAGTCTTGCTGAGCCTACAAAAATTATTATTCTAAACACAGCTTTTTTTCATTTGTGTAAATGTTGGATCCTGCACTTAAAGAAGAAAGGGAAAAAAAAGTGACTGAGACCAGGGAGATGGATGTGTCTCAGAATAGTGGGAGTGAGGCACATTTATTTTTTCCTTTAGTAAGATGATTTTTCCTGCTGGAGAAAACCATATTTGAATATAGAAACAGAATGTGGATGTAATGTCCTGAGAGAGGCTTTGAAAGGCAGTCATTCCATTTCAGAGAGACATAACATTAGAATTCATAATTTTAAAGTGGGCCAAGGCTCTATAGGTGGAAGGGTTTCCTGTCCCTGTGGAACATCTACTCTGCCCTTGAGCTCCAGGCCTAGGACTGCCAGACATCCCCTCTCTATACTGACAGAGCAGCTTATTCTGATGAGCTATATAAGATAAAAGAAGAGAAACTAGATGTGCTGTGAGATCAAAATATAAAGAATATTTTTTGCTTGTCAGGATTTGTAAAAAAATAAAAAATCATTATTAATATATGTTTTACATGCAGGCAATATAATAGTTTAACAATAATAATAATTATTATAATCACAATTTTACAATTGATTTGAATCCAAGTAATACTTCTACCTGAAAAAAAAATCCCAAAGATAATTATATTAGCTTTCCTGATTTTGGTTCCTTCAACTGTCACAGAAAGATATTAATGTGTACAAGCTACTGTGATAATTAAATTGAGTGCTGTCCATAAAGTACTTAGCACAGGAACTGAGAAAAAATGAACATGACTTAGCTCAGCTTGATTTGCTTCCTGCCTTTTCTGCTGTCCTCATTTTGAACCAACGTACCATTTTCATTACTCTGCTGACAAAAGAGCCCTTAAAAAAAAGAAAGAAAAAACTCATCCGATATTTTCCAGACATTTGACTATGGCTTCTTATGCTTCCACCAACCAATCTCTCGACCTCAACACTCACTTTACCTGAGTAATGTTTTTCACATTTAGATCTCACCTTTTAAGGATTCCTCAAATAAGCACCTTTGATATTTCTCTAACTATAGAACAGATGAGATTCTATGTTTCATTTTTTTCTTAATACCTTTCAATGATCTGCTACTGTACCTTTTAAAGTATTGCTTAATATAGACTTCACAATATTTTTTAAAGTACTAGTCTCTTAAGCTATACTAAAAGCTTTATGAAGGACAAAAAAAATTCATGGACGTTTTTCATGAGTTGTACATGAGTAAACCCCATAACTAGGATTTAAGAGTTACTTGCTAAATGCTAAGGAGTTAGATTATAGTTCCATTTTTGTATGTTATTCATAGGAAGAGCATCAGTAAGCATTACTCACCTCGAGCGATATGGTACCTACATAGCAAATGATTTTTTGGGGTCACCACAAGCAGTTAGGAGCCCCCAAAATCAGAACTGTCTCTTTCCTATGGTCATTTTGAAATGTGCACTGTCTGATCTGTAACAAATTGTCACAGACTGAGCATTTAAATAGCAGAAATATATTTTTTACAGTTGTAGAAGGTGCAAATCTAACATCAAAGCCTGGGAGGTCCAAGATCTAGAAATTTTTTTTTTTTTTTTTGGTTTTCAGGTGGTGTTTCCTCAGTATATTGTCACATGGTATAAAACAAAACAAAACAAAACAAAAAAAAAAACAGCCATCTCTCATCTCTTCTCATAAGGGAGCTAATCTTACTTATAAAGGCTCCACTTCCAGACAAAACCACCTTCTGAAGATTCCCACTTGCCAGTGGTAACACACCATGGGGTTTCACAATGGAATATTCAGTGCATAACATGTGTAACACACTAAAGAGCCCATGGTGGAGAAAGTATCTGTGAGTCCATTAGGGCCACACTAGTTCTCCTGGCAGGAAGGACTCTTACATGTTTTCTCAGCTCAGCTTTGATTAGTTTTATGCACTTGGTAAAACATAGTCAAAAGGTTCCCATCAAGATTCAGCCTTCCTGGTAATGTGGATTTGTTCTTAACTAGCTCTCTGCATTTCAAGCTCATATTTAACCATGAGCATTAGCTTCCTGAGTAACAAAAGTAACACAGAATTTGACAATGTTAATCATGAAACATCATGTACCTGATACATAAACTATCTATTTTATATGCCTTTTAAATAAGACCTGTGTATTTTTGTTTCTGTATGTCCAGTGTCTGCAAGAGTAACTAGCACGTGGTAACAATTCAAATAGTTTTGAATTAATGAATGCATGAATTAAGTGCTCAGCATAAACTGATAACACATTTTGTAATGATATGAGAAATGAATTTATTAGGTGTCGATTACAGATATGATTCATTTAATAACGTTTAATTTATACAACAATTTGATAAAGAACTATCTCGAATTTACAAATAATAATACCGATCAAGTCCATACTTCCTTTAACACAAGATAGAGCTGACCTGAAATTTCATGACTCCAAGAAAGACACTGACTGAACTTTTCAGTAAATTCCAGTGTAGATGATAACACACCCAGCAACTATATTTACAAAGTGATATAAAAGCACATTTAATGATCACTAAAATTTTCTTGAACAGGAGAAAAATTTCCAAAGAAGTGATTTTATTCTGATCCTGAAAAACTAAAAAGCAGGTAAACAGACAACAAGCACCAGAGGACATTTCCAGGAAAAAGAAAATTTCTAATATGAAAGTTTGTTTCAGTCATTTGTCACATCTGAGCAAGCTGTGGAAGTTTCACATGGCTGGCAGGCAGAACTTAGGTGAGGAATCATAGGAGATGAAGTTATCAGGAAGCAGATGAGAAGGGGTTTCATACATTTAAGTACTGGGTGATCCACTATAAACATTTAAGCTCCTGATGGTACACAGATGCTTTTAATTAATTTTTATAATTATATTCAGTTATAGCATAGAAATGAGTTTAGAAAGAACACCATGGAAGTGACTGAAGACTAGGAAAAAAGATTCATTCCTCAATGAGGGATGAGTGATTATTCTAGTGAGGCTGAGTAGCTGGGGTGGGACATGGATTCATTTTTAAATGTTCAGGAAAAAAAATCAACACAGTGTAGTTGGTATCATTTTGTCTAAATTATACATGGATCACTTCAGAGTTAAAAAAAAGGAAGTGTTTTATCTAGGTGCAGAGGAACATCAGACCAGATGGACCCCAAAGCTTGAGTCCTACCCAAAACCAGTTTAGCCACCCAGGCAATTGGAAATTGTAATCTCTGATGGAGACCACCATTCTCCGCAAAGCCACCAGAATCTTCTCCAGATGGCAAGCAGATTTCCCTGTTTCTAATACCAGATGCTGTGCAAGACACTTCAAATTAATAAATGAGAATTATCTTAGCAAATCAATTTCCAGATACTTCGTTAAGTAACCATTAAGAGTCGTAATATCAACATTTAAATCAAATCCCGATTACCTGTTTCTTTATATATCATATCATTTTATGACATTACAGACAGGGTTTTACTGTGGTTAAATGAGTTTTAAAAATCTTCTTCATTGGCTCCTCAAAGACAATCACTTCTTTTTGTATATTTTCCATTGACAAGAATAAACAAATCTTTAAAAACATAATGAGTCAGGATTTTCTATCTGTGGTGTGTAAGTGGCTCCAAAGGACTCCAGAAGGTCTCATTTGAGGGTTATTACTTCTTTCAGCCCCTCGGGGAAGCATTCTGTAAATAATTGTTTCCCTACTTTATACGAATACCCTGGTGTTCCAGGCATGGGCCAAGACCAGGGAATAACTTCTGAACTGGGAGGATTTGGCTGATTAACTTTCCATTAAATGCTTCCTGACTCCATGCTGAAACCTCAGGAATCAAGCTGAGAGCTCAGAAAAAAGGAAACAACCCGAATGCTTCTCTGGTAATTAACATCACCAGGTGACAAATTAATACTACCTGGTTGTTCCCATAAACAATGATAACAGGGAGAACTAGCTTCCAGCTCTTAGCCTCCTGGTTATTTTTCTACAACTACTATTTCTTTAAAGACAGAAAGATGAAGGAGGGGCTGGCTGGTTTTTCCTCTAGCTGTAGGCAATTGTGATGCCTGAAAGGTGCAAAAAGTTCTTTTAGAGAAAACGCTGGCCTCAGATGAAGATAAATACATTATCGCCTGTGGAAAAAAAGGTGAATGTGAGATACATATATAGATGATACAGATATAGATACTTATCTATATATATATATATATATATATATATATATATATGTATTTTTTCCAACTATAGAATTGTTAGGAATGCAGATCCAGAAATTCTGTTTTTACAGTATTCATGAGAAATCCCTGTAACAGACTCTGGCACATCCTTGAAGAATCAGAGCTCAGTACAAAACAGTTATATTTATCAGGTAGTTAGATCCAAACAATTTAGGAAGCGGTTACGTTCTAACAACTTAGTAACTCTTTCCTAAGAAATGATACTACTGAGAAAGAATGTACAGTGATAGAGGGAAATTTGAATTTCTTCAAGTTAGTAATTCATCCAAAGTTTAACATGCCAAATATAGTTACATTTTTCTAACCGTTTGGAATGCCCTGATATACCTCCCAGAGTTTGGTGTAGTATGCCTCCACACACTGTTTGGGAATTAAGGATATAAGCAGCAATAAAGTCAGAAACATCAAACTGACTTAGATTCCCAGTCTGTTTACTGCCAGAAAAAGGTTGGATGCTTAAGAATGAGGAATTGCCAACCCTTAAGAATGAGAGATTACACAATCCACAGGGACTTCTCAAGGCAGGTATTATCATCTCCATTTCATGAAGAAAGTTTTGAAGTTCTAAAAATAACCAGATTCTGGTTACAGAAGTAAGAAATGTTGAACTCATAACTTGGATTTAGGTCTTTTTTACTCAAAAATCCATTGTTTTTCAAAGAATGCCTATACATGCACAGTGAATATTCAGAACTAATTACTATTTGTCTTTGATATTTTTTCAACATAGATAATTGCAATAAATAAAGATTCTCCCCGGGAAACTGGTGGTGATTTTTAACTTTAAATATATGCTAAAATATATATGGTAATGATGATCACTGACTGCAGGAACCATAAAAGTCCATCTACATATTCAGAACAAAATATTGTTAACATCATTAGTGTAACAAAAGGAAAAACATGTTCCATTGATTGCAGTTTCAAAGTGCAGTATATATGAAACTATCCAGAGTTCCTTTCCAAATTTCAGTTCTGTGATAGTTAATTTTGATTGTCAATTTCACTGGCTTGACAGATACCTAAGAGATTAACGGGGGTGGGGGGAGGGACACAAACACACACACACACACACACACACACACACACACACACACACACACACACCTGAGTTTTATTCACTTAACAGTTTACCCTGAGTGTTAATTCAGGCCCACATTTGTTTAACTACTGACTATCCCATGTTGTTGGGCAGGTTGATCATTTCAGCTAGGCAATTCTTGTATGGAATGAATTTCTGAAAATTACCCTGTTTATATTTCCTGTTATAAAATGAATGAAAAACTGTGCAATTTTGGGCCATCTTGTGTTTAAATTATTAGACTGGTCAGTGGTTGCTGGGTGAGGTCATAGGGTTAGGAACGTTAGGTCATAGGGTTAGGACATCTGCTCCCTGTTCTCTTCCTCTCTGGCTTGTCCCTTCATTCTGCTGCTCAGCTGGCGTGATGTGAGCTGCTCCCTGCTCCCCTGGAAGCCTCTCTGCCAGGACACTGCTGCCCTGGAGCCAGACAATCATTTACCTATTAAAACTCTGAAAACATAAGGTGCCATAAATCTTTTTCTCCTTTAAATTGTTTATGTCAAGTATTTTGTCCTAGCGATGGAAAAGGTGTTTAATAATTGTAATAATGAAAGGAAAAGAAAGTGTTCAAAAGGGCAGAACTACTGAGATAGGAGAAGGGAAAAAAGGAAGAAAGGAAAAGATTACATGTGTGTGGGTAAACATACAAGTGTATGTACACATATGTATGCTAGGTAGATAGCTATACTATTAATCTTAGTTCGTCAAAAAGAACAGTTTGTGCTGTTGTTTGATTGATCACTTCTGTGTCTAGATTTTGTAAGCTGAACAACTAGTTCTGAGATAAAAGTATCTTAGTTAATTCCCTATTTTTTCTTTTTTGAAATTCTGCATCATTTCTATAGTTTCATTCTGTTTTGCTTAAAGAAAAAAAAAAAAAAAAAAAAAAGAACCTTTGTATCAGAGAAGGTAAGTTGTTGCTGTGACTGTGATTGACCATGGCGTGCAGAAGCCTTTGGAACTAGTTTGCAAGGAGACGTGCAGAAAGGTTTGCAGATGCATATGCAAGAAAGAGGTCCTAGAACCCACCGAGCAGAGCCTAGGGGGTGATTTTGGTGAGAGCTCAGAGACCAGAATGGGGATAGGAATACAAGCAATAAAGTTTGTGCGCAAGAGGTTTCAGATCAGAATGAGAATTCATGAGGATTAAACTACAGGACATACGTGTTACATTTTGGCAAATATTTTGTCTGGATTTTCTCTATATCCTAAAGATTTGTGGGAGGTCATCAACTAAGTATGTGCTAGAAAAAATTTCAAGGCAATACGATATTCAAGCCATGGCACCAGTACAGCCGGCTGCTTTTAACTAAATTAATAGAATCACAGTATGACTACTAAAAATTGATGTTTGTGTTAAACTAGAACGATTGGACATTAAGGAGAAGTAACTGAAATCATTTAATGTTGAACACACGGCAGTCTGATTAACAGCTTGTCTCAGATCTTGACCTTCAGCTCAACCATTTCCTCAGAGCTTCCTACAAGTTACTCCAATATGACTTCCCCACTCTCCCTTCAATTTCAAAAATAGAGCCTTTCATTCCCTTCCCCAAGAAAGAGGGTTGGATGGTTGTCATTGAGACAACAAACCCTGGACCAAAATTCTCCTGTTTTAAAAATGTTTCTGGCTTCTCCCCACCTCTCTGACCTCTCTCAGGAAATTTCATTTTTTAGCCCTTATCGTGAAAGTCTGATTATACTACTTTTCTTTGTCAATAGAGCTTGATTGGCTTTCAAAAAGTCAAGACTTGAAAATTATAAAAGACTCTATTTCCTGAGAGGGCTATTCTGGCAATCTCACATGTCCCTCCTTCTTCCTAAGACCACCAAATGAATCTTTCTGTACTGCTAAAAATAATAAAGCTAACACATGTATTACCGTCAGAATTTTACCACATGTATAAATACATACCTTATTTATTGTTGATATTGCATCCACTTATTTTAAATATTTTGGTCATTATGTAAAAATGAGATGAGTTTTTTAAACAGCTGTGATTTAAGGATATGAAGCAAGTCCTTAGTAAACCCTTGCCTTAAAATAGCAAGAGAAATATTGGCTTTCTCAGCTGGAGACTTTAGAAAGGGCAGGCCCACATTATTCTAGTTTCTGTTAGTGGCCTAAATTAATTTCTGTCTATGCCATGAAACACATATTCTAGGAGATAATAATGAGCCTTACAACAAAGTTTCTTTCATCAAACATTAGAAATAACAGTGAATAAAATCCTTTACCGTGGATGCCACAAAACAATGTGAATATGAAAAAAAAAATATTAAAGTGCTTTTTCTGGAAATACTCATGGAATTACTTTCCCACAAAGTATCTTGAATGACTGACCTTCTACATAAAAGTAAACAAGAAATAAAGAAATAATACTTTCTATTTCTTATACACTCTGATATAATAACCTTAACAACTAAAACTGCATTGTGTACTTTTTCATTGAATCCTTTCAAATATTTTAAACATCTCCATGTGTGTAGAACACAAGGAAAGCATAGCAAAAATATGAAGTATTTGGTCAATTTTCTTTCTTACATTAAAAACTCCTTTCAAAATTTTATCTATGAATACATAAGTATAATGTAATAGCAACAGAGAAGACTGTGTTATATCATACGTTTGGTGACTACATTTTTAATTACATTATTGCTTTCTTCTTGATATGCCTGCTTCTCTATCCACATCATGTACCAGCACGGGTGTAGATATTACAAATCTTTACAGTGTGTAACAGCTTCCTGTGCACCCGACCACAGTTTTCTCCAGACATAGATATATAGATATATACATAAACATAGACATAGATATATACATAGATATATAGATGTAGATGTAGGCATAATCATAGGTGTAGGCACAGGCATAGGTGTAGCTGAGGTGTGAGCATATACATAGATACAAACAAAGATGTCTTAAAAACAATACTGGAATCCTCATTTAAGAAAAACCAGTGCTGTAATTCCAAGTAGGAGTGCCGCCATAAGTTCAAAACTAGGCTAAACTATACAATGAAATCCTGTATCAAAAATAAAAAGAAGAAAAAGATGATAAAGAATATGATGATGATGATGACAGAGAAGGAAGCTGACGAGGGAGGAAGAGGAGAAAGAGAAGAGGAGGAGAAAGAAAAGAAAATCTAGTGCTCTTGATTTCAGATAAAACAATTCAACAAAAATCCAAAATATCTATGCTTTAAAATTGAAAATCGACACAGTAAAGCCTTTAGCTAAGTTTCTAAAAGAGAATAATATTTTCTGTTCTATATTAATGTCAAGATATATTTTGGACAAAGGATATAACTCACTGGCACAAGCATCTGCCTGGCAAGTATAAGGTACTAAGTTCAATTCCTATATCAGTGAAACAGATATTTTATTTTCTGTATTATATTAAATGACAGGTTGTTTTACAAATAAATGTTTCTTTAGGTAAAATAAAATATGGCACATAATCACAAATACATGCATAAAATTAGTTCTTAGTTTATAAAAAATGAAATCATATTTTTATAGTTTATGTTTATTTTGTTAGTCACACTATTGATATCCTATGGAAATTCCTCCAAATCTAATTGACATATCTCAGATTCAGTTATTGGAAGCTCATTATTCCCCTGCTGATAGACATTCACTGTATTATTGCTTTGTTTCCACTATAAATGTATGGTAATAAGTGTATTTACAAGCAGTTGTTATATACTTCAGATTTATCTATTTGGGGTAAATTTCCAGAAGTGAGATTTCTGGGGCAAGAAACAAATTGCTGTGGTTTCATTGGGGCCCCTTCCTTTCGTGTTTTGGCAGT